ACAACGCACTGAGTTCACGCAGGCGCAATGCTATCTCATGTGATCCCTCTGTGGGTGACAAGGTGGAATTTGTATGCAAATGAAATTCCGTGAGCTGGATTTTAGGGGACGTAGCACGCTTTTCAAAATCGGCGAGTTTTACCTTTCTGATCACGGTCGGCACCTCAGTTCGGCCAAAATTCAGTTTTGGCTCGTAGTAAAGCAAAAGTAAGTAATTGGAAAATAATTAATTGTTTTTTTCCTATATGTGTGTGTCAAACCCTTTTCGCTGACAAAAATGAGGAAAAATTATTTTTGGTCCCGAAGTCGAGTGGACCGCTTTTAGCGGGACTGCCACTTAATGAGTCGCAGGTTGAAGTCCAAACTGCCTACTGTAGAGTCTCTCTTGAAACCTCAAGTGGTTGACAACCCCCAACAGAGGCTGCAAAGCGGAGTGAGAAGCAAGAGATCTACTATGATGGCAAAGCTAAACTGCTGCCAAGTATAAGAAAGATGAAACAGTTAGAATGAGGAAAGGAAAGACTTGGCACCCCGCCATTGTTACCTCTCAGTACGCTGCCCCAAGATCCTTCATAGTTACACTACTGCTTAAGTTGTGTGTATATAACTGCGATGATTAATCACTTCTTCAAATCATTATCCGCAGTTCAGATATGTGAACTTTCATATATTCATTTGTATGAACACATGTACTTGAAAGTGACACCAATATAGCGCATGTTAAAAATCTCGAAACATGATTATACTCGGCATAAAGCAAGGAATAAAGAAATTTGGAATAAACACAAGATAAATCTAAGCCTACTCTTACGACATAAAATACAGAGGAAGTTCAGAATATTAATTGTTGTGTATTACCAGGCTACACGACTGGCTTTAAAAAAACTCGCGCCGCTTTTTTCCTAATCAGATATAAAACTAAGATCAGTCGGAACTCGTTTGCACACGTTTTCGCGCGCTTTACGTCAGCTACATAGATTTACTTGAGCTTTGCTTGGTTCATTGGATCGTCTGTGTCCTTTTTGATTGGCGAGGGTGATTACTTTGGTTTCCCGAGATTTTGGTGTAAAACACGCGATTGAACCCTGTAATCAACAAGTAATCAGTGTTGCTCTTTTATTTATTACCCATGTAGTTTTTAGAGATGTCATTGATCATTGATTAGTTGCGTCTGAAGGTAAACTTTCAAAAATATGATTCAAGAGAAAAGGTTGTCGAACAAGGGGCTCAAGTGCCTAACATAGATCGAAAAAAATTGTCATAATTACTTGTGACCCGCAGGCAATCTGTAACGTTCATATCATGTTAATCGCTAATAATTGTGGGAAATCGTTCGTTAGTCTGACGCAATCGCACAAGTTGGAGGTTCGCTCTAATGTCAATCTATTCCCATAATAAATTCGTAGCAATTTGCGACTCTATCATTTTGTACGCATGCTGATCATGTAGAACATGAATGTCTCATGGCCACTTCCTCCTGGGTTTTGCCCATCCACAGTGTCTTTTTTCTAGTGGTATTTCACTTATCCCTCATCGCAAAGTGTTTTGGTTTACGACTGACATCATGAAGTGGTTTCATGTTACATGATAATTTCAAAGATGATTTAGATTGTCCTGCCCATGATAGAGGCTTGAAAGTATCGCTTTGTGATAGTGTTACCCTACAAGCGCGACCGGAAACTTTATATCAGTATTAGTGTAGACAGTAATATGTTGTTTCTGGGTTGATTCGTTGGGCTGTATTTATAAATGAAGTATAACTTTATATTTAACTCTAAGGTATTAAAATCATTCATATTTTAGTATTCACAGTTACAGGTAATTTATGTATCTTGAATCCCAGGTATTATAGTGAAAGTAAGTTATTCCTATTTACTTTTTTTTTCAACATTATCGCGAACCTGAAGTTTAGTTGATTTAACTCTTCATCTTTTCTTGATAGAGCTCCTTCATACTGCTCTTTGAGCTGGTGAAACCTAAGTAAGCAGAGCGAAAGGCTATCTTTAAATACTAGAAAAAGCTTTTTTCTGATAGGCCCTATATTCCCCTTATGCACGGGTGAAACCTCTGTTAAAATAACACTTTTTCGGTTTTCCCTTACCGCTAATCAACATTGCAAGGCAAAAGAGTTCTAGAGCGTTTGAAATGATTTTTTTCAATTAGTTTGAGCATTGGGCAGTTACCTTCTGCCTTTTCTTTGCTTTCAAATTTCCCGCGCTCGTCATGCTTGTTTAGATTTGTTAATTTTTTTTTTCTCTTAATTTTTGGAGGGGATTAGAGATATTTTGGTAGCTTCCATTCATTTCCAGCTTTATACATGTATGTACGCTTCCACCACGAAACCGTCAGCCTCTGCAAACTCTACATTCCGTCAACGCAGTGATGTCTTAAATTTAAATTCCAACAAGCAGCTGTTTATTTCAACTGAAAGTCCCTACGAACGTTAAAGGAAAAACTTTAAGTATACTTTTGACTTAGCTTTGTTTCAGCCCAGGTTCTTTGTGAAGATAATAGTTTTAGACGCATGTGTTACTTATGTTTGCCTTACCTGCTTTCATATTCTCTAAGTTGCTCTCCTTTGCTGAGTATTTGAAAGAATCGAAAGTGAGCTTTTGATACAACTGATTCCAAAAACCGAGAAGAAGTTTTAACAAGCAAACAAAAATTGATTGAATTAACAAATGGATGACTGCACAGTGGCGGATCTAGGGGAGGGGGACGGGGGGCCCGGGCTCCCACCCTTATTTTGGGAACAAAAGAATCGCAGAAGAAAGAAAAGCCGGCAGGG